CATGTCTCGTTTCTCTCCGGCTTTTATTAAAAAAAAAATACATACATGCATGCAATTGCTTTTATTCCTAATACTGTGAGCATGCAAAAGTCTGAGTAGGAGGCGTCGGGATACAGCCATGCATGCAGTCAGGGGCCCTGACAGCTCGGGGGCCTGGGGCAGTCGCCCCGCTCGCAGGCTGGGCCTGTTCACATCCTCATATCCTGAGACCTGTTTAGTTCCACTTTATTTTGCAAAATTTTTTAAGATTCCTCGTTACATCAAATTTTTGAACGTATGCATAAAGTATTAAATATAAATAAAAAATAAAACTAATTACACAGTTTAGACGAAATTCACGAGACGAATCTTTTAAGCCTAATTAGACTATGATTGGACACTAATTGCCAAATAACAATGAAAGTGCTATAGTACCAATTCGCCAAAATTTTTGCAAACTAAACAAGACCTGAGTGTCAAAACAAAATTTTATTTAATACTTTTGGCTTGATCTTTTTGTTTTATTTTTCTCTTTCTTCTTTTTAAAGTTGAAGCCTGATCACCATCATCACATATGCATCTCCATCTCCATGGACCTCTCACTTGCCTATCACTTGTGTGTACCAACCTAGCTCATGATCACACTTGATGACATAAGTTAGTACTTAGGTTTCATCAATTATCTAAAATCAAGGTAGGACTTTCACACAGGCGACGTGCGACGCGAGGCGTGGACAGCATGAGGCACAGGCAGGGTGCGTGGCACAAGGCGCGAGCGCGTGGGGCGCACGCGACGCAAGGCGGGTCCGGTGCGACCGTGACGAGACATGAGGTGTAGGGGCGCACGCGCCCGAGGCGGCGTAGGGGCGCGAGGCACGGGGCGCATGCGGCGCGAGGCGGGTCCGATACGACCGTGCGAGGCGCGAGATGCAGGGGCGCACGGCACGAGACGGGAGGGGCAGGGCGCGCGGCGCGAGACGGATGGGTCCGTCATCGAGATGGACGGACGTCTTGATAGGAGCACTAGCGAACTAATACGCCCTGCCCCTCCTGTCTCGCACCATGCGCCCCTGCACCTCGGTGAGCAATCCAGTGAACTGAATTACGCTCTACTCGTAGAGGGTGAACTGAATTACGCTCTACTCGTAGAGAGACGAAAACAAACAATGATCGGACTGTTGTGATATATATTAGCACTGCCAGCTTTTTTTTTTTGAGAGAGAGAGAGCACTGCCAGTATTTTATCTTTTTTAATTATTTTTGAGTAACGGGTGCACTTTGTTATACATGTTTACATCTCTTGGAGATACCTTTCGGCAAGCCTGAAGAGGCGGACATCACGAATGCGTATGCGATGGCGACTTTCGTGTGCGTCAGGATCCTCTCTAGAGATCTGCTCAATGTCAACGGTGTTAAATGCTAACCACGTCTCCGCAGAGGTTTCTGACTTGCTTTATATCAACCTTTTACATCAGTTCGTTACTTCGTTATCAAGATGGTCATGTTAGAACAATATTATTTGACGTAAATACAAATGCACTTGCTAGCGTCCAGGGCGCTAGCATCCAGACGCTGCCGTGTAAAGGGAGCAAACGGACGCATAACGCGTCTAGCTCATGAAGGAGCGCACCAGCAGTGGACCCGTACCACCCCGGACGTCGCCCATGCCGCCCTGAACGTCGTCCGCACCGCCAGCCGCTTCCCACGTGTATTTTATGTGCAAACACCTAATCGTTTTTAAACATCCAAATACAACAGTTGCAACATACAAATGAAGACAAATAAAAAACTTAAAATAAGCATCTGAAACACTTGCAAAAATGCCTGAAAAAACATTTGAAACCATTGCAAACATATGCAACATCCAAGATGAAACACTCGCAAACATATGTATGAAACACTTGAAAACACTTGAAATATATGCTTGCAACATGTATGTATATGCAACATCCAGATCTACTTTTACAATATTCAACATGTATTACGAGACTTACTATTTCAGCGAACGAACAGTGTTTTTCTCTCACAATAAATTAGCGAACAGTACTCTCAGCCATGGCTTTTCAGCCAAACAAACAGGGCCATTGTTGGAAGTTCGGAAGTACGGAGCTTCTTCACATGATAGACTAGCTAGAGCGATGCTTTTCTTCATTATTGTGGAATCTTTTTAAAATCTAGAAAGCCAGAGAAAATCACACAATCACTAGGGAGCGAACAAGAATCACTATTACATTTTTCTCGTATAGTCATCCCACTCTACCTTCCAAATTGTAGATCATCATTTTGACTGTATTCAAGTCATAGTTATATAAATTTGACTAAGTTATTAGGAAAATATATCAACATCTATGAGTTCAAAGAAAATGTTCTATCAAAATATATTTTATGGAGAGTTACAGTGGATTTTGTCTAAGTTGCAGGAAGAATACAGGAACAGAGAAACGTTATTTGCGTGAAGGAAGCATTTCTCAGTCGAGCCCTTCTTACGAAGGAAATATACACTTGGGCCTGGCCATTGTTCGTATCATGCTTTGTTGGGCTGACATATGTCAAAGCTAACTAATGTGCTTGAGGTCATTTCGGCCTAGTCCAGGATTAGAATCTGTCCAAATAAGTTCTACTGTTGACGAAACCCAAAAACGTCTCTGAAAAGCCTAATTTGATCCACGTGCAATTCCTTCATAATTATTGTAAAATTCCTGCCTTCCAACGTAACACCTTTATCACCCATTTTAATCACCACATTGGGTTTGCCATATAAAAAGTATAAAGGCTTAACAAATTTATGTGGAATTGGATTGTTGTTGCTCTAATTCTAATCACATAGTAAAATTTATATATCTAGCGAGTATTATTTTGTTTAGTTTTAATTCTTTTCTTATAGTCAATCAAACAATCTAAAATTCGATACAGGAAAATAATATTAGTATTTATGGCATTAAATATATATTTTGACAATATAAATATTAATAACTAATTTTGTTAATTTAGATAAATTTAAGAAAGCTGGTTTGTTATTATGTTAGAACAATATTATTTGACGTAAATACAAATGCACTTGCTAGCGTCCAGGGCGCTAGCATCCAGACGCTGCCGTGTAAAGGGAGCAAACGGACGCATAACGCGTCTAGCTCATGAAGGACCGCACCAGCAGTGGACCCGTACCACCCCGGACGTCGCCCATGCCGCCCTGAACGTCGTCCGCACTTTGCGCCACCGCTTCCCACGTGCATTTCATGTGCAAACACCTAATCGTTTTTAAACATCCAAATACAACAGTTGCAACATACAAATGAAGATAAATAAAAAACTTAAAATAAGCATCTGAAACACTTGCAAAAATGCCTGAAAAAACATTTGAAACCATTGCAAACATATGCAACATCCAAGATGAAACACTCGCAAACATATGTATGAAACACTTGAAAACACTTGAAATATATGCTTGCAACATGTATGTATATGCAACATCCAGATCTACTTTTACAATATTCAACATTCGTCTAGAACAGATAAAACATTTGGAACATACGCTTGAAACATACGTGTATAGCCATTAGAACATGTGCAACATCCAGATCTACTTTTGCAATATCGATATACAACACTTGCAATATACCTATGAAACATATGAAACACTTGGAACATACTATTGTAACATGCGCTTTCAACATAGCATATGCTTGTTGCTTTGACGAATGGAGGCTCGTCGACACGGAGCTCGATGCCACGGAGCGGCGCGGAGGTCGCCGGTGTGAAGCTTGTTAGTAGCACGGACCTTAGTAGGGGTAGGGGCCGAATGGAGCGTGGACACGATGGGAGGCGCAAGTCCGGGGCGAGGCACCCGATGAGGGCGGACCGCGCGGCGCTACCAAGGGCGGGGTCCGTCTCGGAGCAAAGGTGTGCAACTCGCTGAGAGAGCACGCGACACGGGCGGGGACGACGCGGGCGAGGTACAAAACGAGCGGACGATTTATACGGGTCCATTCGGATGGACTAACGACCTGTAAGCAGCGTTACCGAAATAAAAAATATTCAGTCTGTTCGCTTGTTGATTTCAGCCAGAACTTATCAAGTTTTCCTCTCACAACGAACCAGCATCAGCCGAGCTTATCAACCCAAAACCAAACAGCGAACAAGCTGATTGTTATAAAGATCCACCTCGGAGACGAATTGCTCACCGTCCACCGAAGGCAGTTGGCAAGTGACATAGGTGGTATATGGACCAACTAATCCATATACATGGGACCCACAATGACCAATTCATAGCTACCATGTTCAGCAAGTAGTCTACAAAGAGGGTCCTATTAAAAATAAAATAATCTTCTTTCCACTATTCCAACCAATAAAAGAGATAGGAGTGAGAAATAATAATATTTTTTATTGTTTATGGGTAGCGCATAAGTCTGTAGATAGCTTTTATTACATACCACTCTGACAGGTTCCACGGTATTTTGAGAACATTTTAGTCCTATGCACTATTCTCGACGGAACGACGGAACGGAACACGAGGCGTGGCTAGCGAGAGCGATGCATGCACCTGACGGTCCTTTGAAGATGGGCCCATTCCGCCGGTCGAGTCCTCCCGGTCTCTGTCTCGTGCCGTGTCTACCTGCCGCATCGCGCTGCCTCCTCTTCTCTTTCCTTTCGACGTGCTCCGAGAATCCCGAGCACGCCGCCCGCGTGCCGTGTGCTGTGCGCGCTCCACAGCCTCCACCCGGTAGGCACCCGCTCCTCGGCGCAACTCCCCAGTCCCCACTGCCCAGCAGTCCTCCGTCCATCCACGAATCAGCGTCCGCGTCGGCGTGTCCCTCTCCCCCACATGCGGATGCGGGGGCGGCGGCCAAACGGCGAACTACTACTAGTTGCAGACTTGCAGTAAAAAGGGCACGCAAAAAGCGAGCGCCCGCACGCCACGACCCACGAGCGATCGACAGATCGGCCGATGCGGAGGAGCTAGCAGCCGCCCGCCGCGACCTCAACCTGCACCAGCGCCGCACGCCACGGGCGGGGGACGCCAGATGATGAAGGATGCGAAGTGGCCGCCCGCGGCGGCGGGCGTCGGTGGGAGGCGAGGGCCCCCCGCCTCATCATCATCCGCCGCGGGGGCGGCGTACACCCTCCTCGCGTCCTCCCCGCCCACCAGCGCCAGCAACGACGGCTGCTCGCCGCACTACCCTCCCGCGCCCGCGTCCGACGACGACGGGCCCTCCTCGTTCGACGCGTCCGTTGCTGCAGCGAAGCTTCCGTTCCAGCAGAAGCAGCCGCACAGGAACAGCCCCCAACTCGGTGTCGCGGACTGGCTGCGGCTGCAGCGGCAGTCCAGCGGGAGCAGCGTCGGGGGCGACGACGGCGAGGTATCCTCCACCGTCTCCTCCACCTTCGCCAACGCCGCAGAGTACAGGGACAAGGGCGACGCGGACCGCCCGCCGAGCAGCAGCAGCAAGAGCTGGGCGCAGCAGGCGGAGGAGGCCTACCACCTCCAGCTCGCCCTCGCGCTCCGCCTCTGCTCCGAGGCCTCCTCCGCCGCGGACCCCAACTTCCTCGACTCCTCCACCGCCGCCGCCGCCGACCACCTCCAGCACATTGCATCGCCTCATTCCCTCTCCCACCGCTTCTGGGTCTGCACATTTCTCTCCCTCTCTTACACTTACAGTTACTACCGCTGCTTGAAATGTGGCGAATGTCTGAGTTCTCCGAGTGACCACCGCGTCGTTCGCAGGTCAACGGCAGACTGTCCTACTCCGACAAGGTCCCGGATGGCTTCTACCTCATCCAGGGGATGGATCCCTTCATATGGACGCTCTGCAACGACGTGCACGACGGCGGCCTCGTCCCCTCCATTGAGTCTCTCAAGGCTGTCAATCCCACCGATTCTGCCATCGAGGTGGTCGTCGTAGATAAAGTGGCGGACTATGACCTGCGGCAGCTGATAAGCATGGCCATTGACATTTCTCGGAATCGTGCCGACTCCAAGGAGATCGCCACTCGACTCGCTGCCGTTGTGTCCACAAAGATGGGGTGAGTAATGCAACTGCATTTCTCATTTGATGTACTTGGCTGTCTATCTTAATTCTTACGTGCACATTTCCGTCGAAGGGGATCAGTAGCAGCTACCGAGGAACACGAGTTGGGTCCCCGGTGGAGAGACTCTGTTGGGTTCCTGAAGATTAGCTCAGGGTCTGTTGTACTTCCCATCGGAAAGCTATCAATTGGCTTTTGCTGCCACCGAGCATTACTGTTCAAGGTGATCTTGCTTCTTGCTCGGTACATTGTGTACTGAGCAGATGCTGACATGTCACTCCAGTCACAATATTTTATGACATAATATTGGAACGTAGTATCTGTCTTCTTTTCTATGATGTAGTTGCAATTATTTCTTTGCTAAGATTCTAAGCTGGCCTTGTGTCTTGTGTGGCATTCTCGTTCTCTCTGAAATTAAAGCTCATATCATGAATAATTTTCTAGTGTTAATCCAATCATATTGATCTTTTATAAGGAGAAAAGTTGCTCCACCTTGAAGTATCATATATGATTCACTATTTTATTTATCATCACCCTATTCTTGTCAATTCCATTTTCTTGCATTGATCCTGCCTGCTTTCGTTGCGAGCAAAACAAAAAGACCCTGGCGGACTCCATCAATCTGCCCTGTCGCGTTGTGAAGGGATGCAAGTACTGCAAAGCTGGTGCTGCCACTTCTTGCTTGGTGCGATTTGGTCATGACAGGTTGTATCCTTTCAAATGACCTTTACTCTTAGTACTATTTCGAACTATAACAAAGATGAGAATAACAGAATACTTAAGTGAAAGTTATGGTACTCTTATTTAGTGCACTTGGTGAAAGTTCTCAAGTATATCTGAAAATCTTGAAAATGAAAGATTTAATTGACATGCATAATGCATTTCCCAAATAACTGATTTTGCAGTGATACATATGCATGAGGCTGGTCCTGCTGATATCACTCTCTTTTCTCAACTGTTTAAAACTTTGGAGGATAAGATGAATACAAAAAATATAGCAGTCATTCTAGAAAAGAAATCTAGATGGACATTCTAATTTTAACATATTTTAACCAGATTTTATTTTGTTCATGTTGCAGCTGTCAATTTTGGCAGATGTTGACGGTGCTTAATCAGTTATTGACTTTATTTTTTTCCTGATACAGGGAATATCTAATTGATTTAATTGGGAACCTAGGATTCTTATCTGAACCTGACTCCCTCTTGAATGGACTATTGTCCATCTCGGTTTCTTCACCATTGCGCCCACCAAAACATGACTCAGCTGACATTTCTGATAATTTCAAGTTGTTGGCCAAGCAATATTTCCTTGATTGTCAGTCGTTAAATCTCATGTTCAGTGATCCAGCAGCTGGTATCTCTCTGCACGCTGAACAATATAAGATTCAGGATCTCTTGGAAATGTCATCTGATATATACATTGAATAATTTTAGGAACGGTTATCGACTTAGATGAGCCTATGGGATCCAATCTAGGTCCAAACTCATCACATGCAACAAACAGTGATTGTCAAGCTACCTTTACTCATCTTAAGGATGGTACTCAACGCGGTAGTCAAGATGGGAATTTTATAATGCAGAGGAGGTACTCAGATAAGATTCTATCTAAAAAGTAAGGTTGATCTTTCAATATCCAAAGTTGATTTTATTAAAAACATTTCCAGTTCCCTAGAGGATACTCAATCTGGACTAAGTGATCCCTTTAGCGATATGTCCCTTGAGATAGAAGACTTGATTATCCCATGGAGTGAGCTTGTTCTGAAAGAGAAAATTGGTACAGGTGTGTTTCCTCCTCAATTCTGTACTTACCAGCTGTATTTAGGTTTTTATTCTCCATTGTTACAGTATCACAACATGCACTTTTCTATTGCATTATGTCTACTCTTTTAGCCAAAATTTAATTGTTTACCTGAATCGAGGTTTTCAGGTCCTGTAGACCTGCTAGGGCATGTCTTGAAAATTAGAACAATTACATAGTCATCTTTTGAAAATTTAAATGTTTTTTCTATTTTTATACTAATGAGGAAAAGTTCCAGGTTCTTTTGGTACTGTGCACCGTGCAGATTGGAATGGTTCGGTATGTTTTTTGTCACTTATCACAAGTATCCTTTTGCAGTTCGGGATAATGGATATTCTCTATATCTCGGTAGAGACATAAACACATTATTTTAATATGGGACATTTTAATTATGTTGGTTACAAAACAAGGCATTCAACTGCTTATATTAGTCAGCATTTTAGAATAAACACCAGTGGCCTGAATTTATCACAATCCATCTATTGCTTACAATAGTAGTCTGACAAGGATGGAAGGGTTCAATTAACGGGGCTATTCTTTAACCCAGGATGTCGCAGTAAAGATTCTAATGGAGCAGGACTTCCACCCAGAGCATCTCAAAGAATTTTTGAGAGAGGTATAACTACGAGAGAGCATTTTGTGCACTTATCAGTCACATAGTTCCTGCTGAACTTTTTCTCATGGTATCTTTGCAGCTTAAGAAACAGTGTTCTGAATATGTCCTAGTATAAATGGATTATGCAATGTAATAATGTACCCTACATATGACTAGATGCTTATTCAGATTAAATTTTGTGTCCATAGAAATCAATGTCCATGTAGTTAATAAGCCCTGCTTCCTAAGCAGTTCCTAGATAACTATGCTAGTTAATTACAGTCATTAAAGACCTTGGGCAGCCCAAGAGGTGTGTACGGCTGCCAAGGCACCTATCTGATTAGCTATGCTCTAGTGAGCTGTTTGTAATCAATGCAATGTCTATCTCTATATATAATCAAGGAGACAGCCTGGGGTGAGTGGCTGTTCAGGCTAATCAAGTCTGTGTTACCTCCAACATTTGGTATCAGAGCGAGGTTAGACACCAGAGAGCCACGAGGCCAACTCCTCACCTTCTCCACCCCATGTCGACCTCTGCTGAAAGGGCTTGTTGCCAGGCTCAAGGCCAAGGGAACCGGCGATGGAGAGTGGCGACTCCTCCCGCCGTTGCCGCTTGAAGGTCTGCAGAGAGGCAGCGGCAGCACTGGCAGTCCAGCAAGCAAAAAGCGGCGGGCGTCTGCTGCGGCGGCAAGAAGGACGCAGCAGAGGCTGCGGGGCCGAAATTGCTTTCTTGAGAAGGGGGAAGAAGAGGACGCAGAGGAGGAGGAAGAGAGAGGCGGAGAGTAGGAATTGGGGGCTGCGGACTCCGTCGCGAGACAGGAGGCGCTCGCAGTCACCACTGCGGGACCGGAGGCGCGGCCGCGGCGGCGGTCGCTACGAATCACCGCACGGCAGAGTGGTGTACCGCGACTCCGGTAGCAGCACATCGTGGCCGATGCTGGACAAGTCGAACTACTACGAGTGGAGTCAGACCATGAAGCTGAGGATGCAGGCACGCGATCTCTGGGACGCCATCGAGGGCAGCCTGTCGGGCCAGCGATGACGAGCGTGCTTCGAGGTGATTGTCGGGGCCGTGCCCAAGGAGATGGGCATTCCACTCCTCGACAAGGCTACGGCGAAGGAGGCGTGGGACGCCATCGCTGCGACTCGCATCGGCGTGGACCGGGTCCGTCGAGCAACGCTGCAGCGCCTACGCCGCGGTTGGGAGAACATCGGCGTGGACCGGGTCCGTCGAGCAACGCTGCAGCGCCTACGCCGCGGTTGGGAGAACATCGGCGTCAACCCCGGCGAGCAAGTGGAGGATTTCGCCCTGCGTCTGTCAACTCTGCACCAGCAGCTTGTCATTCATGGTGACAAGGACATCACTGAGGAGCGTGTGGTGGAGAAGTTTCTGCGCACGGTGCCAGCCAAGTACGCGCAGATTGTTGTCGCCATTGAGCAGTTCCTCGACTTTGAGGCGCTCACTCTTGAGGAGGTGACTGGAAGGCTCAAGGCGGTGGATAATCGCGAGGAACAAGCGCTGACCGAGCCGGTGGCCATCAACGGCAAGCTGCTGTACACCGAGGAGCAGTGGAGAGCGCGCTGGAGGAAGGAGAAGAAGGGAGATGATACCGTGGTTACGGATTCGAGGAGCCAAAGACGGGTGGCGGTGGACGTAGCCGCGGTGGTGGACGAGGACGAGGCAGAGGCGGTGGACGTGGTGGCGGACGAGGAGATGGCAATGTTGCTGGCCGCGTCGGCCCCAACACCTGCCTCAACTGCAACCAGGAGGGCCACTGGGCACGTGAGTGTCCCCAGCCGCGCCGTGAAGATGCAGAGCGCGGCGGTGGAGGTGGAAACCGTGCTGGCCGCGGCGGTGGCAATCGTGGTGGAGGTCGTGGCGGCGGAAATCAGGCTGGGCAGCGTGGCGGGAACCAAGGAAGGCATGAGGCGCGCCCGACGCCGAAAGTCACGATGAAGATGGCGCTCTGCTTTACGCACATGGCTTCATTAGCTCGAACAGAGCACGGCTGGCGACAACTGACTACAGCGCAAAGACGCCGAGTTCTCCGAGCCACGCGTGCTCGCGCCTATCTCGGCGTGGACGAAGAAGAGGTGGACGATGGGTTGGTACTGGACTCGGCGCGACGCATCACATGACCGGGCGCCAAGAGTTCTTTGCTGATCTGAACACTGGCGTTCGAGGAACGGTCCGGTTCGGGGACGCGTCGAAGGTAGAGATCAAGGGCGTCGGGTCTATTGTTTTCCAAGCCAAGACCGGTGAGCAGAGGGTTCTTCATGGCGTCTACTTCATTCCGGCGCTGAAGAACTCTATCCTAAGTCTGGGACAGCTTGATGAAGGAGGGTCCAAGGTTGTGATTGACGATGGCGTGCTTCGCATTTGGGACAAGAGCCGCCGTCTGCTCGCCAAGGTACACAGAGGGAAGAATAGGTTGTATATTCTGCATCTTGAGGCTGCACAACCTCTCTGTCTCGCGGCACGCAAGGATGAAGAGGCGTGGCAGTGGCACGAGCGTTTCGGCCATCTGCACTTCGACGCACTCCGGCGACTCAGCAAGGAGGAGATGGCGCGCGGGATGCCGGTGGTTGACCATGTTGAGCAGGTGTGTGACACCTGCGTTACCCTGCTGTAGGCGGCGTTTTTTTCGGTCAAGCAGCAAAGATACCGCGCCTGAGAATCGGCTTGAGCTGGTGCACGGTGACTGTCTGGATCCGGTCACGCCAAATGACACCGGCGGGCAACCGTTATATCTTGCTGCTCGTCGATGACGCCACTCGCTTTATGTGGGCTGTTGCTGCCATCCAAGGACGCAGCAACAGAAGCAATTAAGAAGGTCAAGGTGGCAGCAGAGGTGGAAAGCGGGCGCAAGTTGAAGGTCCTGCGCACCGACAATGGCGGCGAATTCACTGTCGCGGAGTTTACTGCATACTGCGCTGATGAAGGTATTAAACGGCATTTCAGTGCCCCTTATTCACCGCAACAGAACGGTGTTGTTGAGCGCAGGAACCAAACAGTGGTGGCCATGGCACGAGCTTTGCTCAAGCAACGCCAGATGCCCTCTCGGTTTTGGGGGGAGGCTGTGATGACGGCTGTGCACATTCTGAATCGATCCCCGACGAAGGCACTGAAGAATGCCACTCCTTATGAGGCGTGGCACGGCCGGGCACCAACAGTCGGCCACCTCAAGGTCTTTGGCTGTGTGGCTTATACCCGGCGGCTTACTCACCGCAAAGCTCGATGACCGCCGAGAGGTTTGGCGTGTTTATCGGCTATGCGGAAGGGGCCAAGGCATACCATATCTATGATCCGTTGTCCCAAATAGCGTGCGTGTCGGCCATGATGTGGTGTTCGACGAAGGCCGGTGGGGGGACTGGCATCACCGCAGCAGTACACACGAAGCGTGACGGTGAGTTTATTGTTGAATTTCCATGGGCGGAGGAACTCCACAAGCGGGAAGTTCAGCGTCGCCTTTCACTATCTCCTCCTCCACATCCTCGCATCGCTGGTTTCTCTCCGGTGAATGCAGGAGAGCCTGCAGCGGAAACAGAGGAGCCCGCAGCGGAGGCAGAGGCGCCTGCGTCGCCCAGAACACCTACACCAGCTCCAGCAAGTCCTCAGGTTGAGCATGTGACCCCCTTGAGGATGATGATGAAAGGGTGGATGCCTACCACGACGATGAAGAACTCCGCTATCGGAAGATTCATGACATTATTGGTGATCAGCCAACCCCTCCGCCGACGCAGCCGTAAGCTTGCGTAATCAATCACACCCATTCGGTGAGCCTACAAGCTATGAAGAAGCCAAAGATGATCCAGTTGGCAAGCAATGCGATGAAGGAGGAGCCGAGATCGAGAGAGCGGAATGGGACTTGGGAACTTGTTTCTCCCGTCCCCAGTCACCGTCAATTTCAATTTAAATGGGTGTTTAAGTGAAGAAGGATGAACATGGAGTTGTAATTAGGCACAAGGCAAGACTTGTGGCCCGTGGTTTTGTGCAAAGGAAAGAGTTGATTATGAAGATGCTTTTGCACGGTTGCAAGGATGGAATCAAGTCGTGTTTTTGCTTGCCCTAGCAAAGACAAGAGGGATGGGCAAGACATCACATGGATGTGAAGTCTGCATTTTTTTGAATGGAGAACTTCGGAGGAGGTTTATGTTACACACCCTCCGTGTTTTGTAGTATCGAGAGAGGAGAAGAAAGTGTACAGTGCTGCACAAGGCTCTGTATGGCCTAAGACAGGCTCTCGGGCATGGAATGCCAAGCTTGACTTGACTCTCAAGCGAGATGGGTTTTGAGCGAGAATGTGTATGAAGTCGCTATGTATGCAGGAAGGGATCGGTGACTCCCTCTTTGGTAATTGGAGTCTATGTTGATGATTTGATCATCACGAGTCAATCAAAGCAGAAGATTGAAGCTTTCAAGGCAAAGATGAAGCAAACCTTTGAAATGAGTGATTTGGGTCTTCTGTCTTTCTATCTGGGAGTTGAGGTGAGACAATCAGAGGGGAGCATCACTCTGAAGCAAACCCATTATGCAAAGAAGATACTTGAGCTGGGTGGTATGGCAGGTTGTAATCCAGCCACCACACCCATGGAAGAAAGGTTGAAATTGAGCAAGGAAAGCACAGCAAAGGAAGTAAATCCAACTCAGTACAGAAGACTGGTTGGCAGCTTGAGATACCTAGTGCACACAAGACCAGATTTGGCTTTTGCTGTAGGGTATGTTAGCAGATTTCTGGAGAAGCCAACAACTGAACATCTTCAGGCTGTGAAGAGGATCTTGAGATACCTGGCTGGTACTCTAGATCATGGGCTCTGCTACACCAGAACAACAGGCAAAGCAAGGTTTGTGGGTTACAGTGATTCAGATTTGGCTGGAGATGTTGATTCAAGCAAAAGCACAACTGGATGTTTGTTCTTCCTTGGAACCAGCCTGGTCAGCTGGCAGTCTGTCAAACAGAGAGTTGTTGCTCTGTCTAGCTGTGAGGCTGAATATGTGGCGATGACAACAGCTGCAACCCAAGCTTTGTGGTTGTCAAGACTGTTTGCAGAATTGTTGGGAAGAAAAGTTGAGGTGGTGGAACTCAGAGTAGACAATAAGTCTGCTCTGGCTTTGGCAAAGAATCCTGTTTTCCATGACAGGAGCAAGCATATTAGAATCAAGCATCATTTCATCAGAGATTGTGTGGAAGAAGGTAGCATCAAGACAGAGTTCATTCCCACTGCAGATCAGCTCGCTGATATACTGACTAAAGCCTTGGGCAAAACCAAGCTGGAAGAGATGAGGAGCAGGATTGGGATCAAGGAGATCAAGATTAGTTGAAGCAGGTCTTAGGGGGAGAAATGTAGTTAATAAGCCCTGCTTCCTAAGCAGTTCCTAGATAACTATGCTAGTTAATTACAGTCATTAAAGACCTTGGGCAGCCCAAGAGGTGTGTACGGCTGCCAAGGCACCTATCTGATTAGCTATGCTCTAGTGAGCTGTTTGTAATCAATGCAATGTCTATCTCTATATATAATCAAGGAGACAGCCTGGGGTGAGTGGCTGTTCAGGCTAATCAAGTCTGTGTTACCTCCAACAGTCCAGAGGATTCTTCAAATATTGAATACTTATGCTGTTGCGCCTCATTGAAGTACTATAAATATGCATTTCTGTAGCACTTTGATGTTCATTTGTCATTTACTGTGTTGAGGATTCTCCTTTGTAGGTTGCAATTATGAGAAGTTTGCGACATCCGAACATTGTTCTTCTTATGGGCGCTGTCACTCAGCCACCTAACCTTTCAATTGTGACTGAATACCTGTCAAGGTGTGTCTTTACTTTCTGATTACTTTTTCAAATATACTATCTGTACGCCCCTAGAGCTAGTCCAAGGTTCCAGGACCAACCTGTTTATTTCCTATGTGCAGAGGTAGCCTGTACAGACTTTTACACAGGCATGGTGCAAGGGAAAATCTGGATGAGCGGCGCCGCTTGAGTATGGCTTTCGACGTGGTAAAAAACTTGTTTAAATAACGCTTACTGAAACTGTGGAGTATAGTGGAGATGTGGGTTTATAGTGAACGACATGTTTGCAGGCCCAACATGTTTGATTAGATTTTCATAAGCATGAAGCTATCAATTTTGGGTTTTATGTGCACCGAAGTCCTTGAGTAATGATCAAAACGAAAGATGGTTAGAATGCAACAAAAAAGATCATACACGAAACCTGAAATATATTGGCACTGAAGAGCATGGCTACCTACTATAAGCTGTAGGTGACCATTGAGGGTCATGGAAGGGTACACTACACTGCTACAGTACTGCTGTTGTGCAGCAGTGTGTTGCTGCCATTGCTATCGAAGCTATGGCACCGCTATAGTAGGCTATTCGGAAGGATAAATACTTTCTTCAATAAAGTCGACATTGACCTTTCAGTTGAAATTGAAGCAATCGTCGTTTAATACTCTATTGTTTGTGATCGTCTATGTACAGGCAAAAGGGATGAATTATCTTCATAAGCGTAATCCTCCAATAGTCCACCGGGATCTAAAGTCACCAAACCTGTTGGTTGACAAAAAGTACACTGTGAAGGTATGAAAATTCTGATTTTGCTTTTACTTTCATTAGGAAAAGAACTTGCCTTCAGTGACTTAATGATTGCAGTAATAAAATTTATAACTTTACGATTCATCATTTATATTTTTGTAATATTCTTATTACAAGCTATAGTTTTTATGTTTATTATGATTAGGTCTCATCACAAAAGAAAAAAAAGGGATAAAGTGCAGCGTATTTTGATGACCCTTAGAATGTTCCCTTTCTAATATAATCATTTGCTACCTGTGTAACATCATGTCTTCTCTTCTAACTACCTTAACTGAAGTACTCCTGCTATTCTGCAGGTCTGTGACTTTGGTCTCTCCAGATTGAAGGCAAACACATTTCTGTCTTCCAAGACTGCAGCAGGGACTGTAAGTTGTATTGTTTTATTGTTCTGTTTAGTATATTTTGTTTTGTTATGAAATCTATGAGGCTTAAGTGTTATTCTGTGTCATGTTATCTAGCCTGAGTGGATGGCGCCAGAAGTTCTTCGTGACGATCCCTCAAATGAGAAGTCTGATGTTTACAGCTTTGGTGTTATCCTATGGGAGATTATGACATTGCAGCAGCCATGGAGTAATTTAAATCCAGCTCAGGTTTGCGTCTCATGCTTTATGCATCACAGTATCACACTGACGTTTTCTAGCTTCAGATATTCCTCATTGAGCAAATCCTTGAGTTCTATATTTTTTGTTAAAAAAAAACAACGTTACTTGCAGGTCGTAGCAGCTGTTGGTTTCAAGGGACGAAGGCTTGAGATCCCAAGCAGTGTTGATCCGAAAGTGGCGGCAGTAATTGAGTCCTGCTGGGTCAGGTATCTAATACTAAACATACCTGCTATTATGCATCTTCTCATTACTCAACTATCAAAGTTGTTTTGATGGACCATTTTATTTGTGTTCTCAGAGAACCCTGGAGACGACCCTCTTTTGCTAGTATCATGGAATCCCTGAAACCTCTCATCAAGACATTACCACCCAATCAACTCCTGGAAGAAAATTAGTTACACTTCGCAAAAACTTCGACATCCAGTAGACACGAGCTTCTGACATCTGAGTCAGCAAAGGTGATTAGCTCAGTATTTATTAAATATAGAGGTTCCAGTTATTCTTTATATTATAGTTACATTTGAGTATCATATTTATTCAGATTATGGATCCTACAGACTACCGCATTTGTCATATTCATCAAGAAAGCGGATTTCATGACATCATACTATATTGTAGTGTACTCCCTGACTCCCTCCGTCCCAAAATAAATGCATATCTTGCTTTTCGAGGTCAAACTTTTTTTTAAGTTTGACTAGCTATATAGAGAATTGTATCAATATTTGTATCTTCAAATAGGTTTACTATGAAAGGATATTCCATGATAAATGTAATGATGCTTATTACACATCGTAAACATCAGTACTTTTGTGTATATATTTGGTCAAGCTTAAAAAGTTTGACTCTTCGAGAAATGAGATATGTACATTTATTTTGGGTAGAGGGAGTACATAGGAAAAGGAACAAGCTGCGAATAAATTCCGTCACTACAGGCTTAACACGATCGTCAGTATTGAGCGTAGCTTGATTTCCTACCCCCGTAATTCCTTATGAAATCTTCTTCTTTTTTTAGAACTCCTTATGGGATATTAATATGGCACAAGGGAGTTTTATTATGTATATCATGTTATTATTTGCTTCGTATGGTGGACGTTTGCTGTGACTTTGGAATAATTTGTACTTACTGACGTATGTAGAGATTGGGATGTTTTCTTGTTCCATAATTTGATAAGTTCAACCTTTGCTTTGGATCGCAGATCTTGAAACACCCAAAAGAGAGGTTACCTTTGATTAGTGGCTTTAGGGTATATGGATGTAGTCATGTTATGGGCTGTACGTAGCAACTAATAGTTGTACGAAAAAGGTTAAATTGAGGAGCTTTTTATCTATATGGCCCTAGAAAAAATGGCTATTCCTTATATATTTTTTTAACTTACTTGTATGGTCCTGAAACGAACTTTCATTACTTCTATGGCCTCCGTCCGTTTTTGCCACTTGACGGTGTTAAGTCAAGGGTAAAAAGACCATTTTGCCCCTAGCGTAAAAAAAATAAATTGTAGAGTTTTGTTTGATTGTTGTATATTTAGAGTAATATTAAGCAAATAAATTTACACATAACAGTAGGGTATATTTGGAGTATGTAATACACATAACAATACATATTTGGAGTAATATTAAATAAATAGGACACATAACAGCACATTATGTGCTCTAAAAATTTTCACACATGCATTGCAATTAACCAAGTCTCACATAAATAAGGTCTCACATAAATCCACCGTAGTTTCAGGCACACATAAATAGGGTCTCACATAAATAAGGTCACACAAGAGTGTGAATTCAAACATACATTGGTCTCACATACAACTAGCAAATTCAATAGGCATATCACAAATCAAAGACTAAGCCTTTTTTTGCTTCGTGTGCTTATGGCAGGGCTGCTAGGAAGTACTGCCTTACTTCTTGTACCCATCGATGGGCTGTCAAGTGGTACCTTCGGAATGTCTGTGGCTTTTTTCTTTGGAAGGCCTAGCTTCTTCTTGATGGGTGTCCGCTTCCTTTTAACTTGAGCAGGTCGATCTTCACGTGAAGCAATAGAAAGTGATTCGGGCTGATTTGACCCACTTTTTGACCTATAAATGTTATACATTGACAATGGTTTAGATAAGAGGGAAAAATTGGATTCATGTAACTGAAATTCAGAATTAGAAAACGTACAATTTTGAACGTTCATGAGTTGGAGCTTGGAGCTAGTGTAGTTTCTCTTTTTCTTACTTGAAACCTTCAAGCTGTGGCTGTCATGGTAGTCAAATAATGAAGTTTTCAAAGCAAGATGTGATGATATAGAGAGATTTCAGCAATATATAAATTAACTTTTAGAGGCTTCAGGTGTACAATCACCACCTTTCCTCTTTTTAGAAGATGTTTCCAAGTTTTGACTATGATGACAAATTAGTTGGTACTTAGAATCCATCAGAAGTGCGAAATAACCATGTGAGAAAGGAAGAAATACCAAACCTTGGAGGAAAAGACATGGATGGCGCTGGTGCATCTTCCTCTAAAGGCACAATGGAATTTTGGGTTGGTTTGGTGTTCCTTGCCCTCTTCTTTGGTTCTCCCCTGAAATAAGAATAGAATCAATATCATGTACTTTACAAAGGAAAAACATAAATGGTAGAGAAGACTAGATAAGTTATTACCTGATTGCTTTCATAGCTTCAATGTCTTCTGGTCTGCCTCTCTTGCAATTATGCCAATGATGTCCATAGTCCATACAAATAGGGCATTGGTGCTGTCCTTTTCTCTTTTTTTTGTCGCCGGTACCTTTGTGCCTTTCAGTTTTAGGCCTACCAGCAACTGGTGTCAATAAAGGTGGGTGCATGAAAAATTCATGGTTAGATTTAGGCCACTGAGACTTGTCTGGCATAGCAGGAACCAGCTGACTGTATGCAACTCTAAATTTCTCAACCGAGTAGTATAAGTCAACATAATTCTCTATTGGTGCATCGCTAAGGGATGTGATGTGTCGGGTTCATAAACCCGGGGTCCCTCGCGGACCGGCTTCCCAATAAAAGCTCGGCCCAAGCAGACAAACGCGCAACTTATGGGCCGGTCCAAGTATCTAAACAACAGGCTAGAAAGGCTATCCAATTACCGACCGAAAGGTCTGGCCGAGGAGGAGCGGCGTCCGTTTTCCGACTTTGGCCCACCTCTCCGACCGGAGCGCTCACTTCGGTTTCCAGCCCGACTCCGGACGGCCTCTCCAACCGGAAGGCCTGGCCAAAACACTACTTCCAACTCCGACCCCACGTCTCCGACCGGGGTACGCAAAAACCCTGCTCACTGCTCTTCACCGACTGGCGCAATCAGAGCCGACTGGGACCAACCGACCGAGGACTCCCGCTCGGAAAGGACCAGGGAACGAACAGAGAAAGCAAGGCAAGGCGCACAAGTCAAACCACGATACCAGGGACTGTACCCTGTACACCTGCAGAAACAGTACTCTGCAACCTCCCTGACACAAACAGTGTTGTAGGCGCCGACATTTTCCCTACAGTATTGTGGGCACCATTAACTCCCATACGGTAAGGCTCCCCCTACATGCCTCTGGGCATCCATAGTGTTGCGGGCGCTGACATTTACTGTACCGAGTGAACATGGTGAAGCTCCTCACATGCCTCTAGGCATCAACAGTATAACAGGTACCGACATCTATCGTACCCGAACAAAACGACGAAACCTCCCACGTGCATCCGACATCCAACAGTGTTGTGGGCGCCTACCATCATCCTGTACCCGCCGACGTGGGCAACAAGGCTTAGAAACATACGCACTCTCTCCCTCTCACTTGTAAGGCCATCCTCTTCATTTATAAAAGGGAATGCGCTCTCTCCCAATATTCTGGTCATTCCAGATTCATTAGATCGACCGAGTTCACTACTTCACAACCACAGAACCGCTAGGTTTGAACCTCAAGCACACGCTTGAACACTTAGCTCATAGCGGAGCTCCTGTCGCTCTCGGCCCTTCCGACCGGACCTCTTGTACCCCATCTTTCTCCTTCTCGTTTGTAACCCCACTGCAAACTTCGAGCACCTGGGCTCAGGAATAAAGTCACCGACCGACTCAAACTAGACGTAGGGCACATTGCCTGAACCAGTATAAACCCTGTGTCATTGAGTGCTAGGTCACCTTCGATCACAATGTACGGTAAAACTACAAATATTTACTTGTTGGTCACTTTCTGCACCGACAGTTGGCGCCGTCTGTGGGGAAGACGTTGTACGTTCAACACTTTTTGGTCATCGGATGGCCCACTTTTCCACCACCATCGTCGTGGCGGACTCAGGCGATACGACTCGCTTCGGCTCACTGGAGTTTCCCGCACTCCCACCTGTTGGGATGTGTGTCCCGCCCATCTCCGAGCCATCCCAGACCTTCCTCTTTGGAAGCCTGGACTTCGTTGCCGACCGGCTTAGCATACTACACCTCCGCGAGAAGGCACTTGTTCCGGCGCCCGCCGGAGATGCACGCTCCATCGGCTCCGGGACGCACGACGACTCCAACGACGAGGCACCTGCGCTTCATTCCGAGCAAACTCTCTGCTAAAACCCCGTTGTAAGTAATGCACATGCTGTTATTTACTTACTACCCTCTATCTTCCGCCGATTATCCGGAGGGACCCCGTTGTCCCCGCCGCGACCGCCATACGACCGGTTCCCCTACGGCCTCGCGTCTCCCGTGGACGCGTACGCCCGGGGGCTCCAAAGGATGCTGGCACCGCCCCCTCACATCCGAATTTGTGGGGATGGCGAGCTACGCTCCCATCTGTTTCCTCGACCTCATGGATGACGATGTTGAGAGTGACGGCTCCAGCATTGGCGACGTGGTGCCTAGCCACCGTCCATCCCGGGAGTGCGCTATGATGGACGCTCCGGGACAGCCACCGGTGGTAACGGAGTCCTTGCAGACTCACACCCATCCGGACCCTCGTGCGGAGACCCCCGGGCTCACACGGGAGCACGACGAGGAACTACAACAATAGTGGCTGCACCAGCCACCAACTGCGCCAGCGCGCTCGGCGCACCACACTGCGCCCCGTGCGTATAGACTGGCGAGCGGCGCCCAGGGTCACGCCCGTCGGGTCCAGCGCAACACCATGGATAGGGGGAATGATCCCCCACAGTTCGCTCAGGCCAATCAGAACATTGCCGCTGCGGCAATGCTTCTGCGCGACCTGCCTGAGCCAAACGACCCTCAAGAACAGGCGATCCACCAGAACCTCCGGGCACTAGTGGACACCGCCATCGTTCAATAAGCGAAGAGCTCCGTATCGCGACACCGACTCGCGGCCTCAGTCCCCACCAGGGGAATGGGGATGCAGCAGACGAGTCGCTCCACCCGCTCACCACTACAACCGCCAAGCGCGGCACAATAGGCCGCATCGGTGCCTCGT